AATAGTGTGTGCATGAACTTACGTTTTTGCGCTGGCCTCAAGAAACAGCAAACCTGAAAAACAGGAAGTAGAAATCAAATCTAAAGGTCCTGTTTTCATCTTAATTTGAACATGTTGCTGCTATCTCTCTCTTTCTCTCTCAAAGAGGTCACACCAAAATAAAACACTTCTCACCATTCTCTTCAGCAAACTGTTTGGCCTCCTCGTACGTCACATCCCTCTGAGCCTCCAGATCAGCCTTGTTACCAATCAGAATGATGACCTGGACACAGCAGTCAGCGTAGTTATTGAACAAATATAAAAATGCATGATCAGTAGCCACATTGGCATCAGTATGCTGAGGTCAGTGGCAGCTAATCAATAGAGGGCACTAGTAAATGTAAACAATTATTACAGTATGTTTCATTATCCTCTCTTGCAAGTGCAGCAGCCAACCAATTGCTGACCGTTGCTACGCGAAAACTATGCAATTCAGCCAATGAGCGTCCTCAGATCTGATGGCCAAAGGGCGGCAAATTCAGCGTGTGTGGGAATACTTTGAGGTAACGAAAGAGTATTTGATGAAGATGGCTGCTTGTGTAAGTACTTCTGGAACATCCGGACTTCTGTCCCAGTTTATATTGTATTAACTATGTCCAGGACAAGGTGTTTCTTTCAAAGTTAACCACACTGAAGATTATGGAGGTATGCCACACTACCAACACAGCTGACTTTCTGTGTGATAATACACTACTCCTTCTGTAAGAGTAACTATATCTAATTCAATAACTAGGCTGGTTGATTAGACTTCTCACATTTTTAAGCCTCAATTTGTTCTTTAGCAGTGTTTGCCATGTTTTGTTAATGTTTGTAGTGTAATGGGATTCCAGCATGTATGTGTGCGTGTGTGCGTGTGTGTCAACTCACTGTGTTGGGGTTGGTCAGGTTCCTGGCATCTGTTAACCAGCTGCTCAAGTGATTATAAGTACTTCTCCTGGACACAGAGACAAAAACAAAGTTATTCATCAAAGGATCAAACTAATATGAAACCTCCCACACTAACTCCGCTCTCCCGTTCAGTACCTGGTGATGTCGTACACCATGAGGGCCCCTGCGGCCCCCCTGTAGTAGGACCTGGTGACGGCCCTGAAGCGCTCCTGACCGGCCGTGTCCCAGATCTGCAGTTTTACTTTCTGACTATTGACCTCCATGATCCTTGTCCCGAACTCCACCCCGATGGTGTGAGGACAGTCTGCCATGACTGCACACACACATCCAAAATATTCATTATTATGACAGTTTAACCAGAAAACAGCCAACAACACAGGACACTGCTTTTTTCTTATTATTTTTCGTGAAGGTATATCATTTGATATGAACCAATAATGTACTTTGGGGATTGATTCACAAAAACAACTGTTCTAATAACATATCGCATTAATCCAACCTTAATTTTACCCAGACAGATTATTTAATAATAATCTAAACGCTTAATGTACATTATCATTTAATGACTTATTCAGCTTCAAACAACTATTCATCAGCCGATTGTAGAAAATTAACTTTCAAATGTTAAAGGATTGAAAATGATCATAGGAACAGGTGGATGGAAAGGCACCTAATGAGTAAGAGAAGTTGGAGGAGAGTGGAAGAACAGAAGGAGAAAGAACTCACATTTTTTCTCTGTGAACTGGTGGAGAAGACACGACTTCCCTACTCCCATATCACCTGGAGAGAGAGAGAGAGAGAGAGAGAGAGCGATTCATTAAGTTAAGTGTCTGGAGGGAACCTTTGCAGACCATTTACATGCAAACAAACCTATAACAAACCATAGGAAAGGGAAAATATGCATATTAGGGCCTCTTTAATGTTTGATTTGAATATCTCCACACTACTAAAATTAGTTAAAAATAATTCCATTGTTGTGTTTTAGTTTAGTTTAGTGCACGGGTCTAAACACTACAATACCCATGCACCTCAACATCCAATCACAGAGCTTTCATTTTGCTGCTGTTTAATAAAATGCAGAGAGACACGTTTAACTTAGCTACATTTGTTTTGAATGTCCAATGGCTTCTTGAACTTATTCTTTATAACAGAAGAACATTATTCAGATGATTAGTTCAGCAGAGTTTGGCATTCCACTCCTCACACACAACAGGCCTTTAGATGTTAAAACGCGAGCTAACACAACCAGTCAGTCCCAGACGAGTCATCCTTGAAAAGTTTCACTTCTCAGGAAACACTTTTCACGGAAATAAACCCGAGCAAATATCCGTCTGGGTAGAAAATCTATTTAACCATGCTGCCTGGAAAAAGGAGTATGCACGTGGAAATATTTCGAGGTACTTGGTCAAATGATGTTACTACAATGGTCCTATAAAAACTACTACTTCAAATATAAATATTTTGTTTTTGAATTTAATACATTTGCCAGTTACCAACTTAGCAACAAGACAATTGACATCAAGTGTGCCTTAGCAGTGTTTCCCATACATTGATATATTATTATTTTAATTTTTTTAAATTCTTTTGGTGGTCTAATGGATAGTGTGTGCTAGTGTGCCCTTGAGTAAGACACTTAGGGGGGGGGGTTGGGTGCCCCCACAAATAGAATCAAATTATGTGGGAAGCACTTCTTGGTGTCCATGAGGTGAAGTAAACTCTTACAAATATTTATCGTAAAAGGAGCAATACTGCTATTTAAAATCACTGTTGCAAGTAAAAGTACAAAAGTTTTCACAACAAAGAGGAACATTTACTGTACAAAAAAGGTGAAAAATACTTGTGTGTACTTTCTATACTTTGATCTGAAGTACAATACCATATTTTATCAAATCTGAATCTGTTAAGTATTCTTAAAATATGATACAAATATATATAATGAAGTAAATCAATATTTTCCTCAGAGATATAGTGGAGTAGAACTATATAATGTCGCATACATTTGAAAAAGACCAGTCAAATCAAATTGTAAAAGACTCAAGTAAAGAATATTTATAATAACATTTGACTTATTAGTAAATGTACTAATAATCCAGCTGGTTGCAATATTAGTACATTAGTAATATTAGTAACTAGTAGTAAGTAATGTTAGTTGCGCTACCTGCAACAGAATGCAGACAGTGACAGTAAAAAATACAAGAATAAAATAAAAATAGAACAATTATTTATTCAAACAAAGGGAGTTAAGTAAATATTTGCAAGTTGTATGCCAATATTCAACAACAATATACGTGTAAAATTGTGTATATTACAATATATTCAGTGGTGTATTAGTATTATAAAGATATGAATACTTCAGAGGGAGTTTCTCTCCCCCCCACACCCCCCCTGCTTGAAACGCCTCCATTGGACTACTCTGTTTACTTCCATAACATAATGACATCACTATTTAACACTTTCTATACTATTGGCTAGCGATTTGACTGGGCTCTGGTTTCAGACAGAGGGTGAAAAGAGGTGCTGCAGCACAGGCAGTATGAGAAAAATAAAGAGCTTTTTGACAATTAAAGCATGGAGACATGTCACAGTAGAGACACAGAATATGAAGCTGAACATGAGAAAAATATGTCCTCTTTAAAATGATCACCTGACGACCTGAAAATACAAATAATACATAAACAGCATGGTAGGGCTGTACCCGAATATTCGACTATTCGAATATTCGTTCGTTGGCCAACTATTCGGGTTTCAATTTCATTATTCGGATATTCGTTTTTTTCAAAAGAAATAAATATTTTTTTCTAAATGTATGCTATTAATAAAGGCGAATTGCCATATTCTTATACTATATTTATACTTTTGAATTGCACTGTTAAAATGCGGAAATATATACAATCTCAGCCTGTGCTCCTGACATCGCGTTCACTCACAGTCAC